ATTAATATTTTTTAATAAATTTATTATAAAATAATTATTTAATTTAATATTTTATAATTTAAATTATTATTTTAATGATTCGGAATGAATTTGAGAGTCTGAAACATTTTCCTATATATATATACATAATATTTTTTTAATTAAAAGTTTAAGTGAATTATACTAGACTTCAATCTCATTTTTATTTAAAATAATGAGTGATTAATTTGATAAAGTTAATGATAATTAATTAAGAAATTAATTTATAAAATTAAGTTAACTTTTAATCTTATTTTGTTAAATGATAATAAAATATAAAACATAAAAGAAATATTTTTTTTTATAAAAATCTAACTTAATTATATGAAATTTATGAATGTAAATATACAATATTTATATTATCACCGTATAGCATGTCCGTGATGTGCAACTTGGCCTCGTATTATGAAGGGAAGGAGAATGAATGAGAACCCTTTAAATATCATTCAATCATGTCAATGAAGAAATAAAATGAACTACTATAGTACTACACAATTTTGAATTTAATTTAAGCCAATTCAAAATATGATTTGTATTAAGATAAATGGGTACCTTCAGAATGTAGGTAATGTTTTCGGTATAACTTTTATGATATGTTAAAAAAGATTATAACATACTTATTTTTTCCTTCTTTTCTGCGTAATTCAATTAACCCCAAACAACCTTGGGCAGTGAAATGTTTCTATCTTCTACACTATACCTTGGGACATCAAAAGGAGACTAATTAATTCGTCTTGTGCAAGTTATTTATGGAGTCATCGAGATAACGTTTTAAAAAAATTTGGAACTTGCAAAGTTGTAAAATAGACCACTCTTTAAGATATGTTAAACTTCATAATCAGCGTATTAAAAAATAGGTGTGTCCGGTATTTTTAAAGCATGTATCTCACTAACTTTTATAATAGTTAAATGATTGAAATGTAATGCTAAGAATGCGTTAAGCATTTAGGTATAATATGTTTATGTTTGTTGATTTAAAATTAGAGGATAGGTTGATTTCGAAAGATGGATATTCCGTTGTAAGGATATTGGTGTAGTGTCATATGAGTTTAGTTATTGAAAATCCTTTTTAACTTATTAACTTTTGAAGAGGATAGTTGAGTCTCTTATAAAATTTTAGTTGATGCAGTATATGGGTCAAGTTGAGACATATTGACTATAAGTGGATAATATTAATTCGTATGTGAAAAAGGTCGAGACATAAGTATATAAAGTGACCAACTAAGTAAGGCACAAGGTCGAGGGCTTAGTCCTTAATTGAGTATTGGAAGGACGTAGTATTTGGAAGGTAGTCGGTGAATTAATTGTACAGGGGATTAGTGTTGCAAACTAATATCATGATAGACTCATACTCAAAATGTTCTATCTTGACAATAATACTAAACTTCCTAGTTTAAGTGGCAACATTTGAGAAACCATGTTGTTAAGAATTAGTATCCCAATTTGATTGTTGATCAAGTAGGAGCAAAAAATCGTGTTAGTTTGAAAGGGTTAAGTCACTTAAACTGTTCATCTTTGTTGTAAGAAATTTTCGTAGGTGTTTGATGGGTGGCATCAATTGTCCGTGGCGAAGGCATAGATGGGTCAAGTCATAGTTGACACGTGGTGTTTAGGTTGTTATAGTTAAGTAGAAAGAGTTACGTCTTAACTAACAACTATAACTTTTAGCCTAGTGTAAGCTCTCAATCCAACAATTGGTATTAAAGTCAAGATCATGTGCTTGATTCCTAGTGGGAATAGTTGTTGATGCGACATTATTTGTCAGGTGACATCAATTGTCTTGTGGCACAAGCCTAGGTGAGTTAAGTCACAATCAACATATGAAGTTTGGGCTACTATGATTAAGTAGAAAGAGTTGCGTCAGGACTAACAGTTATAATTTTTTGTTTAGTAGTAAGAGCTTAATCCAACAATAAGTGAATGTGTGACGACGCATGTAATTGAGGTGTTATGCATATGATGTGTTGTTTTTGGTTGTAATGTTGTTCATATGCTTTGTTGATTATGTTGTTGAATAGCATGGATGTGTTGAAATATGAAATATCATATATTGTTGAGTTGTTTACCTTATAAGGTATTGAATGTCATGTTGAGGTGTTTTGTTGTGATGCTAAGTTGTAGATCATGACGTGTATGTGGTGTGGTTTACATGTTGTTGTGGTAGTATAATCAGGGACGAATTTACTTTAAGGGTAGTGGGGGCACTTGCCCCCATTACCATTTTACCCATACATATTTTTTTAATCAAAAAAATAATATATTAAAAAAAATAAATTATATTCTAATAAAATAAATATATATTTAAATTATCATATGTATAAAATATAAATTTAGAAGAGATGTTCATTTATTTGATATTTGTCAAACTTTTGAAAGATTATTTATCATATGTGATAAAGAATATTCTTTAATAATGAATTAAATTTTTAAAAGTTTAATTATAATATATATATATATATATATTAATGCTCACATACATAATGTAATATATTAAAAATTTTAATTTTTGATAAAATAAATTTTACAACATGCATATTTACCTTGTGTTTTCTAATTACTGTATATTTTGATTAAAAAAATCAAAATAGTAAAGATTGTAAGATTGTATATATTGATTAAAAAATCAAAATAGGAAAGATTGAAATATTTATGTTCTATTTAGAGTTTTTATTATAAAATAT